TTTGTTTTCCCTGAAATTCACAATGTATTCTTTTTTTTCATTTGTGTTATATTCTTTGAACTTCTGGCTAATTCTTCCCACATTCTCCCCACAGCTCTTTGGAACTCCTCTCAATACAGTTTGCTACATATTCCAACCTGCCAGATAATCCATTTTCTTGAAGATGTCATGTGTCCTGCTCAGATCTGACCTGGTTGCTCTCCAGGTCTCTGCTACACATTTCTCCTCCTAGAACCTCCCCTGTCTTTGTTCTGTGACTGTCATTACCCTTTTTTCTTTGTTGGATCTCCTACTTCCTGGATCCCATGTTTGGGGATCCTCTTTTTTGATTTACTGCTTTATTTTGCTGGAACACATCCTCTAGTGTCTACTAAGAACATACATTGGTAGGTGGGCACCTGTGGTCCCAGCTACTTGGGAGGCTGAGGCAGGAGAATCCCTTGAGCCCAGGAGTTGGAGGTTGCTGTGAGCTGTGACGCCATGGTACTCTACTGAGGGTGACTTGGTGAGACACTGCCCCCCCCCCCAAATTGCAGAATTTGAGAAGGGATAGGATTATGGGTGTCCACTTTGAGAAGTGAGTCTGCACTTGGCCAGCTCAGGCAACACCATGGGTGCTGGGTGAACCTCAGCCTTGGTGACTTCTTTGGTTACTTTTCGCTCTTATCTCCACCACATCTCATCCTGTGCTTCTTGGTACCCAAGGCAAAAAAAAGCTAAGAGCTGGCTTAGATGCCTATAGAGCCTATCTTTACCTCTTTAAAATATCAGTCCTGGCCGGGCGTGGTGGCTCATACCTGTAATTCCAGCATTCTGGGAGGCTGAGGCGGGTGGATTGCCTGAACTCACAGGTTTGAGACCAGCCTGAGCCAGAGTAAGACCTCTAAAACAGCAGAGCGTTGTGGCGGGCTCCTGTAGTCCTAGCTACTTGGGAGGCTGAGGCAAGAACATCACTGGAGCCCAAGAGCTTGAGGTTGCTGTGAGCTGTGACACCATGGTACTCTACTTAGGGTGACAAAATGAGACTCTGTCTCTAAAAAAAAAAAAATCAGTCCTAATTCCTAGGCTTATTTTAATTTTGAGGATTATAAAACATATTTTAGATAATTACATGAAGTCCTAGAACATGGCAAGCATTATAAATCGTGAGAGTTCATAAATTGTAACTGTTGTCAGTTGCTTATGTTGTAAATTAACCCAAGGGAACTTACTAATTGTTTACCACCTCTCATCCCTCCTTCCTTTGGGATTTTACTTAGATCTCTCGGTTTCCAACCCTATGTAAATTCAGTAACCATATGTACACTTATGGCTTGTCTCCCTGTTACAGTGGTTGTAATAACCTTCATTTACAATGACAACAATGTTTGGATAAATTAAATGTTTTATTAGGGCCACATAAATATTGTTCACAATCAAGGCAAGTATACTATGATTACATTTATCCTTTCATATAACT